TATATTAATTTGTGTCTAGCATAATTTACATTCATTTCTATTAACTTACAAAAGCTGTCGAATGAAATAAAAGTTGTTGGGGAGTATATTCAGTCATATATGGCAGACGTGGTGGCTCTCCATGTCTATCAACATAGGACTGGTAGGCTCTGAATGTTTGCCTAATACCTCCGCTGTCAGCTATATTCTCTCCGATGTTATTCTTGCCATTTAACTGCATTGTATTCACATGTAATTAAACATACAATCAATGAATCATTTGATTTGAATCAATGAAAACTCACATGCATTTGCACTTCAGGCACAAAAATACTATTAAATTGATTAATTAAGCAACTGGATTTTTGTTCAAAACGCTTCTTGATATTAATAGTCCACCAATTCCTTATATTTCCATTTGTGTCATATTCAGACCCTGTTTATTTGAAATTTGTAATTCAAAGTTATAATAATAATAATAATAATAATACTGTATACATATTATACATACCCTGATCATCAAATCCGTGTGTCATCTCGTGTCCCACAATCTTAAGTAAAAATAAACGATTAATATAATTTAAAAATAAACAACTTTCAATAAAAACTTATATTATACCAGTCCAATGGATCCATAATTTAAATAAATGGGTCTTTTAATGTCAAAAAATGGTGGCTTTAGTATTGCCGCTGGAATTGCTTTTGAGAAATATTAATATTATAATTAATAATTATTAATTATGATGCATATTTATTTTTTAATAAAAGTTAAAATAATAAAAGTTATAAAACTATAATTATAAACTTTATATAACTTGTAAGTCTTCTAATTACATAAAATTAAATTAATATAAAACTCATTTGGATAGAGACTTACTGATAGAATTCATAGACATTTTGTAGGCAGCATTTACTTGTATTGGATATTGAGACCACCTGTTCAATTAATTCTCATCAATGGTAATATAAGTTAGCAACCAGAAAACATAATTACATTTTTGATGAATTTACATTTTCTGTAATTGAGTTGAATTTAATCAAGCCAATTTGATGCCTCAAATAAACTATACTTTCAAATGATTTTTCTAAATCAACCTTTTGTGTCTAAAATTAAAAGGATTTAAATATTATTTTTTTATGTAACATACTATATTTTATATTATTATTATAATACCAAATTATAGACATTATCCAGTTCATTATCATTGAGCATCCAATCAGCAAATCCTATATTCTGTTTCATTTCATTCAATTTAATTAGTGCTATATTTTTGGTCCTGTCGTCCAACCAATCATTCTCTTTAAGCATTTCATTAAACGTTGTTTTTATATCATTTATGATAAACGTTGCCTAAATTACAAATAATTTAAATGCTATTATATCATAACTACATATAATTCAAATCTCTACTTGCATTTTGTCTTTCATCTACAGAAAAGTATTGATCTAAATATAAACGGCTGACCGCATATGGGATCAATTCAGTGACAATTTGAGTGCAAACTCCGGATAAACTTCTTTGTTGTTGAGTGCCATCAGTGATGCTCTGAAACTCAAACTCAAAGTTCTTGAGTTGTCGGTTAGTATATGGCATCAAATTAGAGACCAAATGCCAACCAAAATAGTTGGCGATTATCCTGTCCGGTGTTTTTGCCATTAACTCACAAACACTTTTGTAATACTGAATGTCATTAATGATAACTAGGTCTTCACTTTTTGCACGAAAATCTGACTTATATTTAATGAATATAGTGTTAGTTATATTAAGCCAATTGACACTATTATTAGTCAATTCATTAAAGTCTTTAAATGTCATTCTAGTATATACTAAATGTGCATGTCTCCTTTGTTCACCACTTAATGAATACTTTTAAATACACGGTGTCCAAATCGTAAGTCAATGCAAATTCATGTTAAATATAATTATAAATATTTTAAATAAAATGATTTAAATTAAATATAAATAATCAATACATTTGCCAGTTTTGATTCAAATTCTATTAAATCCTCGATATCCTGATGAGTTTGGCTGTCATTCTTAGCGCCTAATAGTAGTGCCGATTGGAGTATATATTGCTTATAAGCATTGACTATATCGGGGTAATCATTAGCATTAAGCAATTGGTTGCGACCCAAACCAAAATGGGGTAGGTAAAACTATGCAATTAAAATAATTACTAGCTATTTAATAAATTTGAATATCATCATGATCATTTTATCTTTTATTAGATATTCAAACCTGTATTCTATTAACTGATGTGTCGTTAGAATCAACGTTTACCGAAATATCAAATATGGGCCCTATATTGTATTCAACAATCTGTTGAACCCAACTGTCCTCCCAATTATATATTTGTCCATTAAAATGATGATCAGATTGTATGACAGGCCATCCACCACATGAATTAATCGCTTCAAGTAATGGTAATAATCCACGACTTTCTATAATATCTAATTTGAAAAAATAAGAATAACTTAATATAAGAGACAATTTGACTTAAATTATACAAACCTTCATTCGTACAGACTTTGTAGAGATCGTAGGCATAGTTAACAGCATTTGAATGGTTTTCATTTGACATCTTTTGAGATAAAATGTTTGTGAGAATTGCATTCATCTCGTCGTCTCCATTGATAATAGAGTCCGACTTTCCGTTGTAGTCGGGAATGGTATGCCGTGCCATCCAACCCCCGCACGCAAACTCATAAAAATCGTCGCACGGGTCGACCGACTCATTCATGGCATCCCTTAGTTGTCTACCAGTCTTATGACATTCATTTGTATTGCAAACATCGAATTGATCTGTGACAATTTATTTTTACATTTAGTAGACAAAGTTTGTTATTTATTTAAATTATTTAAAGTTTGTTGATTACTTTAAATTAATTTTACAATTATAAACACCTTAGGAATACCTTTGAAATTAAAGGAATAACTCTTATCTGATGACACGATTAATATTAATGACATATAACCAAGACAAATTAAGAATAGAGCCATAATTATAAATTCAACAAATACACGTGCCTTGTTCATATTTTATAGTTAAGTTAAAAATAATAAATTTAACATAATTTGATACAAACTATTAATTAAGAGTTTTGTATATTATGATATGAAAATATAATTTTATTATTAATAATTATAATTTTGAAATAATGGTTAAATTGATATACAAATCATACTGAAAATAAGTTTACAGTAATTGTGAGAATATAACACATGTAATTCAAATGAATTAATGACAACACAATAAAATCTGTTTTAATTCAGTAAAGCCTTCAAATAGGATGTGATATTTGAAATGTTTATTCATTGAATGCAAATAATCTTTATATTAATTCGTTATTTTAATATAAGTGGAAACTTTTCTTTTTAATCCTTATTTTGTAAATAAGTTTTTGTTTATTTATGTTTAGAATATGTCCCACATTTTAATCATATAATTTTTGTGATAAATAATATTACTATTAGAAATGTATATAATTTCCATAAAGTTCAATTAAATCAAATATAATATTTATACAGTATTAATATTATATTGAATTTGAAAGAATATCTCTTTTAACTTATTTTGAATATTTGAAAATTGTGATCAAAATCAATAAAAATAATGACCGTAAATTTGTCGTTTTAAAAATATTAAATTTATTGTAATATTATTACAGAATATTATAGAAATATTGTATTTCACCACAAAATACATTTGTCTTTTCGGTTCATTCGCGTTTGTGGACCACATTTGTAGGCATCGGAAAAGGCCTTAAAGTTGGAGAGGGGAACATTGGTTCTGTATTTCATGGGACTGTGCGAGTCGTACTCAACTATGGTCTTAAATAACTCGGGTCTCCAAAGACTACACCAAACCTGTCATAAGAATATAGAAATATTTTATAATTTATTTGTAATATATTTCTCAATCTAATGGACAGACATTTGCATACGAAAGGAAGTACAGCTGTTCCGGAGTGTATTGACTGACGTGTGGAAGGCGTTTGGGTTCACCATGTTTTTGGACGTATGCCTGAAACGCGCGGTAAGACTCTCTCATCCCTCCATTGTCTGCGATATTTTCTCCGACGGTATTCTTGCCGTTCAACTGATCGTAAGAAATGAACAAATCTTTAGTCACATACCTTAACACACGTCAACCCTATCTCACATGCATTTTCACTTCCGGCACGTATTCACCCGAGTATTCAGTTATAAAACAATTGGCCTTTTCATCAAACTTTTCATGAATTTCTTTTGTCCACCAATTCTTGAGATTTCCCTTTAAGTCGTATTGACTTCCTTTTGGATACAATCATTTTATGACATCCAGTCATACCATCAAATCAATACATACCCTGGTCATCAAATCCGTGAGTCATTTCGTGTCCGACGAGCTGTGGACGACAAGTAATTCAAACAATTGTATACTTAATAACTACTTTAAAAATAAATACCAATCCAATAGCGCCGTAGTTTAATACAGCAGGTCTTTGACTGTCAAAAAATGGTGTCTTTAAAACTCCGGCGGGAATTGCTGTATAGATAATAAACAATACAATTAATTCTGGGTATATATTGTATAACTTATACAATATTTAATCATTACTGATGGAGTTCTGTGTGCGCCCGTAGGCAGCGTCCGCCATAGCCGGGGGCATTGGCCAGCTGTTTGTGAGTCAGTAATAATACAATTTAATAAACCAAATTAATTAGTAATTAAATGTGTTTATGCCTTAGAGTTAAATTCACTTCTTCTCGGATTGATTTAAACGCACGAAAAGCCGAATTGAACTGTAAGTAAAGGAAGCCTTCAAATGACTTCTTTGAATCCACTTTTTGTTTCTACAATGAGTTTAAAAATATAATTTATTAATATGATTCAAAAACTATAGTGAATATAATTACCAAATCATAATATTTATCAAGATCTTGATTGTTGAGCATCCAGTCAGGGTATCCAATATTCTGTTTAATAGCATTCAATTTTTCCAACGATTTATTTTTGGTGCTTTCGTCCAACCAATCGCTTTCTTTAATCAATTCATTGTATGAATCCTTTATATCGCTTATTATATTCGAGGCCTAATCACCGGTTTATACGAATTCATTAAATATTTCAACGATTTATTTTTGGTGCTTTCGTCCAACCAATCGCTTTCTTTAATCAATTCATTGTATGAGTCCTTTATATCGCTTATTATATTCGAGGCCTAATCACCGGTTTATACGAATTCATTAAATATTCAAATCACTCCAAATATAATGGACCAATATATATCCAGGATCAATATTTAAATGATACAAACCTCTTGCTTATCCTTTGGACTGAAATTTTTATCAACGTATAGACGACTCACAGCGTATTGAATGCTTGATAATAAATTACTGACACAATTGTCCGACAACTCGGCCTCCTTTTCCACACCCGACACCACTTTATCAAAGTTGAACACAACATCCCTGAACTTCTTAGTGGTAAGGGATCCCAGATTCATGACCGCCAACCATCCCAAATAGTTGGCCACCACTCGAGTCGGAGTTTTCTCCAGAAGGTCTGTTACGCTCTTATAATAGCCAATGTCTTGGACTATAACCAACTCATCACTTTTGACACGAATTTCTGAATTCAACTCTTTGTATATTCTGTTGGTTATATTGAGCCAGTCTATTTTATTGCTCGACAACTGATTGAATGCCTCAAATGTCATCCTATTATACCAAACACTGGGATCTCTTTTCTTTTCTTGTGGTAACGAAAACTAAAATTCATAATCAAATAAAATACATTTAATACGATAAGTATTACAAATAAGAGTTTATTTCATACGTTTGCCAGTTTTGATTCAAATGCCACCAAATCTTCAATATCTTTGGTGGTCTGACTGTCATCCTTAGCGCCCAATAGTAGTGCCGATTGTAGTATATATTGCTTATAAGCCTTCACTATATCGGGATAAGCACTCATATTCACCAATTCGTTGCGACCCAAAGCAAAGTTTGGGGCATCGTACTTTCAATCAAGTTCATTTATTAAAATAATAAATATTTATATATAATAATTCATATTTAATAGACACTATACTTACATATACTCTATGAGTAACCGTATCGTTAGCATCGGGTTGTACTGAGACCGAGAAAATGGGAGACAAACCAAAGTGAGACACTTGTTTAGCAAAGGCGTCCTTCCAGTCAAATACTGCCTCATNCCACTGAATTAAGTGATTCCGCTAGTGGTGTAACTCCACGAGCATTGAGTGTCACTGAAAATTAACTCAAGATATAAATGACATAATAATTAATTTCAATGATTGCTCCAAACCTTCATCAATGCATCCCTTGTAGAGACCGGAAGCATAGATCACAGCATTTGAATCATTTTGAGCGATGGCTTTACTCAACGACTCCTTGATATCATTCTTGAGCTGATCCTCAAGAATATCAAAACTAAGAAACGATGACTTGTCGGCCGGAATCTTGTGGGACGCCTCCCAACCCCCGCACGCGAACTCATAGAAATCGTCGCACGGGTCGACCGTTTCGTTGAGATTAGCCTTTAATATCTTTCCGGCGGCTTCACAGGCAGGGGTCGTACAGATGTCGTCATCCCTGACCGCTAGTCCCCAACTCGACGTCAATGCTACCGTCAATACTAAAAGAAATCTTAAAATTAAGTCAAACATAATTAAAAATCTATACAAAAGTTAATTCAATATTTTTATAATTATATTGCACCTCATTTTATTAGTGTATTTAATTTATAGAAATGCCTTGGTTAATGTCAATTCAATGCTTATAAACCCATATCTGTAATAAAACTATTTCAGATTGTATGAGAAAAAGTTTATCAAAACAAATGTTTGTCTAAACAATAGGACTAACTTTATCAATAATTTCAATACTAGACCTCTTACTGGTATACCGATTATTAATCGGCGATTAACCTTCAAATTGGCATTTATTTCACCACTTTTATCTTTATCATTAATAGGGTTTTAGATTTTAGTAGACAAATGATGGGTTATTTTCAATGATTATTTTAATCCATAGTTACAATTCAAAATTATTATTATTATTATTGAATATGAAGTTTCCTTTAATTTTACAAATAATTAATTATTATTAATAAAAACTTTATAATATAT